TTTTTTAATACACCATTTTTTTAATGCGTCACACAATTTGTGTATGTCCACAATCTGTTGTGTAGTTTAGACTTTAAAAAGGCGGTTGACTCAAAAACTTTCGGAAGATCATTAGAAACTCCAAAATTTTTTTAATTTTCTTGCTTCATTTTTTTTATCATCATTTGATAAATTGCTCAATGCAGAATGATCAAATCGGAAGATAATAACCATATAAACAATGTTTTATAGCTTTCAAGTCTGAAATGATAAAAATTGAATCCTATTTCTTGATTTTATAGTATATATTTGTAGACCATAAATTAAATTTGAGACCTATTCCAGGAAATGTCGTCTTTCCTTGCCGAGTCCAAACCAAACAGTTTCGCCGACTCTACCGCTATAACTCTGACAAAGGAAAATCAAAACAGTGAAATGTTTTACCATGTAAAAGATCCAATCCATAAATAAGTTTGCACTCCATAGTAAATTCCACTTAAGCCATCGGGTAAATATTTTCAGAAGTATTATTAAATACGAATGTTTTAAATTACACCACCAAACCCTCAAACTCTTAACTGCTCCTTTTCACACCGACACGAAATGAAGCTATGTTATCAAACATTTAACAACATACATTAGAATATCATTTTCCATGTTTAATATTAAAACTAGTAAGTTATTTTAACTAGCATTTTAACTATATTAAATCATTATTGTTCATGTTTAGCACCTTTAATTTATTAAAGGTTTGAAATAAATCTACTTAATGATTATTGGAGACTACTGTGTCCGAGTGGATCGAGCCTAACCAATGAACCAACATAATCAATGAACCAAGCTTACCAACGAACCAATTAGCCAAAGAACCAATCAGCCAATGAATCAATTAGCCAAATAACCAACACGGCTTTAAGTCTATTAACCACCGACGCCTGTTTATTGTTTTACAATAGTATAATTCTAGTTTTCTTCACTGTTTGTCTATAGAAGCTGAAATGTGAAAATTTTAGAGGCCATCAACCAGGTGAAGCCTTTTTAAGACAAAAAAACTTTTTTACCACAAAATTAAAAAGTTAAGGATCCTCGCAAAATTAAAATTTTTGATTTTTTCAGGCCGGCAGGGTTTGATTCAGAAAAAAAAGGCATAAGAAACCTATCGCAGTACAACTAGGGTTTCTAGCGATAAAAAACGTTTACTAAAAAATTGCAAAATTTCGCGAAAATATTCTTATGTTTTTTCAAAATTTTACGAAATAAATTTTGCGAAAGGAAGCGAAAAGCGAGAAGTGAGAAACGAAGAAAAAAGCGAAAAGTGTTATTTTGGAGGAAAAAACGAAACTTTCGCGAAGCAAAAAAAAAAAGCGAAATTGACTGGGAACAACAAGGTTTTTTGCTTTTTTTGTGAAACAGATTAACGAAAAATTTCGCGGAAAAATAAAAAAATGTAAAAAATTTTAGCACGACAAATTTCCCATGTACAACCATGTTTAACAGTACACAGAGTAATAAGTACAGCTCTCTATTGAAAAGCGTAATAAGTACTTTCCTCAGAAAACTAATATCGGTGCTGATTAATGGGAAACGTAAAAACTATCTTTTCTGCTTTTAGATATTTCACTTATATAACTGCACATATAATGGTTCCAATGGAACCAATGTCTTTGCCAAAAACTCAAATCATCTCATCTCTTTGCAACCTGAGAGTGTAAACCTTTGATATTTAAAACTTAGATTATTTGATCCAGCGGAATTCATAGTTTGAATATCTAAATTCTACTGAATTGGTTGTAAAGATATAGGGATTAGAAAATCAGAGTTTGTTAATTAGTAATTCACTGTGAGACCATGAATACTGTAATTAAAAGGAACTGTTGTTTGTATATTAAGTAATCCTCCTGCCGATTAACAACAGTACTCTTGCATACTGACAGGGTTTTAAGATAGCAATGTCCGATTTACAAACAAAAAACCATGAATCCTTAATTAATTGTAAATGTGGCACTCAATAAGTGCTTTTTATTTACATAAAAAAAGGATTTCTAATTATTGAACAAAATGATTGACAAAAGCTTTCATTTTTATGATCTAAACAAAACATTGTAGGACTTTTAAAGCTGGAGACAAGCCCTTAGGGTTTAGAATTGTTAATATTAAGAGCTGCAATTTTGTAGAAAGAAAAATCTAGGAAAATCAGCACAGTCCAAGGAGTATGAAATAGAAGGGAGATACAACTGACGCGGCCCGCCCTACCATATGATTATACAATATACATGCTTTTCAAACGGTACTCCATTTGTATAAGAAATATTCCGAATATGTTATTGTATACGCGGTAATTGTTCATCAGACAAATATTTCTTATACAATTGAAGGACCGTCTGGAAAGCATCTATATAATCATATGATAGGGCAGGCCGCTTCAGTTGTATCTCCCTTCTATTTTATACTCCTTGGCTCAGTCTTACTTGCTGAAACATAACGAATCACAAAATGTACATATGCATCTAATTTGCAATTTCAAGACGCAGTCGACTTTAAATTGGGTTTTACCTAATTTGTTTAGCATGTAATTGAAAAGATATAAATCACTTTTTTCTAGTATTAGCTTTTAAGAAGCAATATTGGTAAAATTCAAGTCAATTTTGCGTCAGATCTTGCAACCTTTGGATTACGGTGGCTAAGGCTCGCTCAGTTTCTTAAAATACAAAAAGACAATGCTACATTTTGTTGTTTCAAAAATCATTTTCTAAAATTTCTTTAAATATTTGAATTTTCCAATATTTATTTAAATAACCTGAAACAAATTTCAAAGAATTGAAGTATTTCTATTAACCTGGTTCCTAGAGCTCCTGGAAAACTATGAATAATATTTATATTAAACAGACTTGATAGTAATATATTCTAGATAGAGCAATCATGGAGGAGAAATAAATCATAAATTTAATCAAAAATATATCTCAACTTATACATAAAGGAATCGGCTATTTTATTCAATCTCAGACAGAAAGAAATATGGCACTTGAAATAAGAAAATTCATAAATTACCAGAATCTCGTCAAAATTTTGCAGGCGCTTTGCGCCCCTGTTTTTGTAAAATAATTAGCTTTCTACGGTTGCTTTTCATATGCCACATAAGTTTTAAGTATCAAAGGTTTACAAAGATTTAGGCATAAGAAAAATTGAGTTTTAAACGGCCACAAACTTTTCCTTGGGTCATGAATGCTCATTTTAAAATTTCTATGTTTGAAAAGACATACAGTTCAAATATAAAGAGGCATTGGAAAAATTTATAAAATGTCGTATTCTTAACTTGCAGATATTTAGTTTTTAAAATAAGTGATTCGATGGAGCTCTTTATAACTATTCCCGCATGGTGCAAGGTTATTTATTTATAATTGTATAATAGTATAAACCCATTGACAAATTTCACGACGACATTTCATAATTTCTTTTAAAATCTCTTTTTCAACAAAACCCGAGTGGACCATCCGGGACTAAAAAGGAGACTAGGACAGTCCTTGCGACTAAAATTTTGAAAATCCGCGAAATTTTTTGTGAAAATCCGCGAATTATTTTTGTTTTGTTTTACGATGTACACAAAGAGAACATGTTCACAACTAATTCAGAAGATGGGCGCGAAGCGCCCTCTAAGGCTAGAAAGAAGGGCGCGAAGCGCCTGGAATTTCTAGTTTAATACAAAATTGTATCTATATGAATTTTCGTATAATTTTGCCACAGTTTTATATCAATTTCTCGTGACAGGAACATCAGATAAAAGGTATCGTTTAGCGCCTGAGATTCTCAGATTTCAGCCCATAACTCCTTTTACTATTCCCATACAGTCCCTTTAAAGAGTTGTATGTCGTCATCATTGTCTCTAACCTTCTGCCTCATCCTATGTGGTTCACGTAAAATTACATACAGGGCATCCCACAAAACAAGACAGTTGGTGAATAGTTTAAAATGTCTTCTTCCATAATTACTTAAGTTGTTTGATACTAAAGAGACTAATAACATTTTTTATATGACAGTTATACTAAAGTAAAATTGAATTCAAAGTAAAATATATATAAGCTATACATTTTTTTAAAAGAAATAAACTGCAAAAAGTCTTTGATATCTGATACAGTATATGGAAGAAGACACTCAAAACGTTTCACCAACTGTCATGTTTCGTGGGACACCCTGTATGTGTGAATATATACCAGTTACATACGAGTATACTCAAGCTGTGTTTTTTCTATTATTATCTAGAAATATGTGTGACAACTTTTTCAAAGTTTTGCGCCATTACTGATAAAGATCGTGCAAATGTGTTTTAAATTATAGTTCTATAAATAAAGATGAATTTAATTTAATTTATCAAAAAGATTTGTAAAGAAATATCTTGTTGAAACTTATTGAACCTTAAAAGCTAAACAGAAATTTCCATATTCAGTTCAAGGTCTGCATAAATAGTGTTTCCATATTTTTGATGGATAGTTTATAGAATGTCGTCTTATACCGAGCAAAATTTGGGACCAAGCTGTAACCTAAAAAAAATCTCTTCAACGTACATCATAAGGTTGCATTTCAGTTTAATTTTTACATTACTCATAATCTTTGTAATAGTTCCTACCCATTGAAACAAAAAGAGACTTGTAGCACTAAAATTTATAAAAGTTATAAAAGTTTGCCATTTTGGCTTGGTTGAGTTTGTAAATTTTTTATTTTAATTTTATTTGATTTCAAAAAAAGTCTCAAAAGAGAATGTTGTCATAGAGAGGAGTAGTTGATGTGAACATGGCCAAAAAAACGATACTGCATGCAGTTATATCAGCTATAATATGCGAAATATATCGTAAATATTAAAAGACAATGTGTTTTTTAACATATTATTATGTATCTTTTTTAAACATTTAAAACAAGAGATGTAAATGAAAAAAATTGTTTATATAAAAGAACTCGTTCTATAAATGAAAATCTCAAACAATTTCAGCCAGCATGATTTATCAAATGAAAATGAAAATTTCACAGGAAATGATTTTCAAATTTATTTTATCACAAAAGTACAAAAACATTACATTACTCTATGTTACACTATAAATGGATTGAATGTCAGTAATGTTTGGTCCAGTAGTGCTGCTAAGACCCTAAGAAATGTTCCTCAACCTCGAGAAGTCTCATGGCAACTAAGAAAATTTTACTTCAAGAATAAATAATAAATGTTTTATTTAACATTGACCAAGAATGTAAGGCAAGGAAAGTTTATTGCGGTTGTGTATACTCTGCGTTCATAATGAAACCAGTTCTTTTGGGGCGGAATTTGTAAACAAGAATAGATGCATCAGTGTTCGTTTAGTATCCGAGGAGGTTAAAAGCATTAAACTTTGATAATTTTGATAATTCACATAATAGTTTCCTATGACCAGAATATTTCATTGATTATTTATGTGAAAGACGGATCCCATGTCAGGCTTTGACATCCGTCTTGTGTTTACATTACCGCCCAGAGACTGTACACTGCAGTACAAAAGATGTGTACACTTCTGAAATAACTTTCCTTGCATTACATCCTTGACATCGACTAAACCTTGTTAAAAAAGATGAATTTAAATTAAACATGATTCCAGGACTCTCTGTTTCCGGCGCGGTAGTCCGAGTTGACGTCAGTGCAATGAGATCAAAGTGTTATCATTAATACAAACGTATACCATTGTAAAGGTTGTCCACTATAGAAACTGAGACAGAAGAAAAAATGCTCTCACTCAATTTTGAATTTATGAGCTGTATTAATCATTCATACTTTACAGGGAAATCAACCCTATCACGGTTGGGGGTGGGGGTGTATTCCACCCCCCCCCCCTGTGGTTTTTTCTGAATAACATAAAAAAGGCTTCCATTAGAACGCTAAAACTTCTTCACTTTTTCAATATCACAGTTGTGTTATTTGTGTACAATTTTTGAAGAATTTTTTTTTTTATGCATAGGGTAGGGTGGAGAACGGTAAAACGGCGGGTTGGTGTTTAAAAAAAACCCAAAATTGGTAAATAATTTTTTTATAAATTAAACTACAGTGCTAAGACTAAGAATATATTTGAGAAGGCTTTAAAAATGGATATTATAGCATGTGTCATATGTTAACATTTGTGCAAAGTAAAAATAACAATTTTGAAAAATGTTCGACATACTTTTTTAACTTTTTAAAAATCCTCCCCTACATTTAACCATTACCGTTAGAGGTCTACTTTTTTTAATGAGCAGGCCTTGAAAAGTTGGACTAGGGACATGTATCACACTCTCCTATTTCAACTCTCAGGCCAAAATAATAAGAGGGGGACACACTCCCCCCCCCCATCTGTATTAGACAAAAATAATCCAATCAGGATAGGGTTAAGGAAACCCGTGGTTAAGTCAAATTTTTATTTTCCCGAAGAAGTTCAGTGAAAGCCAGAAAACTGTAGAGTAGGAAGACAACATTGAAGTGTTTTTTGATGTTGTTCCTACTAGTATAGCAAATAGCTTTACTAGTGACTTAAAAACTCACTCATTAAGTGAAATGGGTCTATTTGCTCTGCACAACCGCTGTCGGTAATGATGGTCAGTAAAATTTGTAATCACATATTGATAACCATATTTAGATTAGATTTCACTTTCCCCAGATTCCTGAAAAATATTATTATCAGATTCTTTTAGAAGCTTAGTTTTTAAAAGCTGGTTGCAGTGAATAGTCTCTGTCAGCATTTTCCCCTTTGTAATAGGTTTTTGACTTAATTAGGGCAAATTTCATGAAAACTTTAGCTCCCAAGGTGGTCTCTGGGCATGCAGAGAAAATTCTTTTACTTTAGTAATATAAATTATAATCATTTAAAACAATTGCAGTTGTTCCAAAATCGGGGAAAAAAAGGTTTGTCCGTAAAGCCATTGTTCTCCCTCTGTCAGCGTTACCCACGGTAAGCTTAGGGCATGAGTTTTGTTGACAAAAAATAATTTCGAAACTAAGAAACTTTTTTAATTGAAATACTTTAAACATTGCTTTGTTAAATTACGAAAAAGAAAATTTAGAAGACGTTTCTCAAATTCCATATTTAATTTTACCCCCTGCATATAAACCATTTGTTAAACAGCACAAAAGTTGAAGTCTTCCCGAGTGGACCATCCGGGACTAAAAAGGAGACTAGGACAGTCCTTGCGACTAACATAGGCGCTCTTTTGTTTAATGTAGCAAATTTCAGAGAGCCCAGCATGGGGTCATTCAGAAAACAAGCTAGAATGAGACTAAAAACATGCCTATTTGAGATATTTTTTTTTCCCACAGTTTGAAGTTTGGGTTTATGGGGGGAGTGTCCTAAGAAAGAGAGGTAAAGAATGTGTTACTATCTTCCTGTCTATTGTCTTATCTTTATATCTATGTCGTGAATCTATAATCTCAACCAGATGTTAAAATTATCAGAGACCTCCCCTTCCCTGTCTTCTCCCCCTCTCCTCTCTCAATGTCATATAAGCTGTTAGAGGCGGATCTTGTTTAGGCAGTTTTTTAGGCAAAATTAGCCTGATGTAGTTTAAGCTGTTTCGATTGCGAATTATTTTGACTAAATGCAACTTAAATTATTTTTTGTTGTTAAACAAAATTTTATAAAAGTTTATCAANCTAGGTTAAAGTGTGAGGCCGCATAGAGAGATCCTGTTTCCGGATACAGATTATTTTTTTAGATACTGATCATATTTCTAGATACAGATCCTGATCCTTAATACAGCTCCTACTTCTAGATACAGATCTTGTTTCTAGATATAGATCCTACTTCTAGATACAAATCCTGTTCCCTAGATATCGATTCTCTTTCTAGATACAGATCCTGCTTCTAGATACAGATCCTGTTTCTTAAAACAGATCCTGCTTCTAGATACAGATCCTGTTTCTAGATATAGGCCCGGCTTCTAGATGCAGATCCTGCTTCTATATACAGATCCTGTTTCTAGATAAAGATCATGTTTCTAGATACGGATCCTTTTATTAGATACAGATCATGTTTCTAGATACAGATCCTGTTTCTAGACAAAGATCCTGTTTCTAGATAAAGATCCTGTATCTAGATACAGACCCTGTTATTAGATACAGATCATGTTTTAGATACAGATCCTGTTGTTAGATACAGATCATGTTTCTCGATACAGATACTGTTATTAGATACATATCATGTTCCTAGATACAGATCATGTTTCTAGATACAGATCCTGTTATTAGATAAAGATCCTGTTTCTAGATACAGATCCCGTTTCTAGATAAAGATCCTGTTTCAGGATACAGATCGTGTTATTAGATACTGATCATGTTTCTAGATACAGATCCTGTTTCTAGATAAAGATCCTGTTTATACATACAGATCCTGTTATTAGATACAGATCATGTTTCTAGATACGGATCCTATTATTAGATACAGATCATGTTTCTAGATACAGATCCTGTTTCTAGAAAAAGATCCTGTTTCTAGATAAAGATCCTGTTTCTAGATACAGATCCTGTTATTAGATACAGATCATGTTTCTAGATACTGATCGTGTTATTAGATACAGATCATGTTTCTAGAAACAGATCCTGTTATTAGATACAGATCATGTTTCTAGATACAGATCTTGTTATTAGATACAGATCATGTTTCTAGATACAGATCCTGTTTCTAGATACAGATCCTGTGTCTAGATACAGATCTTGTTTCTAGATACCGATCCTAATTTTATATACAGATCCTGTATCTCAGTTTTCTCTATTTTCCATCTTATTCTGTTTCTTGAGATAGATCCTGTTCATCATGTTTTTGGTAAATATCCTATTTCTAAACACAAAACATACAGACGCCGCGCTGTTTTACGATACAGATACTTTATCATCTGGCTTTATCAGGCATATTAGTTTAGAGAAAATATTAATATAAAAACATACATATTCGTTTTGGCCTTTTTGTAGTGGTTGTAGTTGCAGTTGTAGTTGTAGTTGTAGTTGTTGTTGTTGTAGTTGTAGTAGTAGTAGTAGTTGTAGTTGTAGGTGTAGTAGTAGTTGTAGTTGTAGTTGTAGTTGTAGTTGTAGTTGTAGTTGTAGTTGTAGTTGTAGTTGTAGTCGAAGTTGTAGTTGTTGTGGTTGTTGTGGTGGTTACTGGGCACACCCCAGAAACCACATATCCAGAAACACCAACAGCTTTTGATGTTTCTTTAGAAGAACCAGTTTTGATCAAACATGCCTCGCTGCTGGATTCCCAAAAATAGTTTGTACACGGACTTTTTTCAATATTATTATTATCCAATATTCTTTAATTTTATGATATCATTTGCGATCAGATGTTCCAAAATTTTTTGCTTTATTTTTAGACAACTTTAATTGAAATATTTCACCAATAGCATATTTCTTTGCTTCAAAGTTGTTTTTCAATTTGTAGGATTAATTTATTACACCTAAGATTACAGTGTGCAGAGTGATTAAGTTACTTTTTCGTCCTAAAACAGGGCAAATAGTTAACTTTATCACCCTTTATCATTAAAGATGTTATTCTTTGATGATTAAAAATTTCTTATGTTTATAATTTTAATAATATACAGCCCTGTATGCAGTGCAAAAGCATTTGCATGCTTTAGAACTTTTCACTCCGCCAACTTTAATAAAAAAAATTGTTAACGAAAAAAAAACGCTTGCTTTATACATAATGATTAAACTTACTAAGGGTTTGCTTTTGGGAATTGAATATGAATAAGTAATACATATGAGACCTAATTTTAACTCTGTCAGGAAACATAAAAAGTCATTTAAAATATGAAAATGCAAAAATATGGTTCACAGTGACACAGCTATGACTTTACTAAACTCATACTACCAGTTTCTGACAAACTTTAAACCTAGATTAAAATGAGACCCATTAAATCATAAGAAAATGGAAATTTTTAAACACATATGTAGCTCTTTTAGTTTTGATTTACACAAAAATCTGAAGAAAAACATTTGTTCAAAAATAATCTAGCAGAATTTTGCTTATTGTGTTGTACAAAGAGAATTGTCGAAATCAAACACTTTTCAAGAAAAACTACGAAATCTTTCACATTTTAATCAGTGAATTGGGCATGGCCATTTTTAAATGGAGGATTACTTGAAATTACAAATCAGAAGTTGAAATGAAATACATCATTGATTTTGAAAACAGTGATAATCAAAAAACCGTGGAATAGGAAAACAACCTTAAGACTTTGGTTATGCCTTTAAATATTGTAGTTAACAAAAGACATGGCAATCAGGCAGTGTAAACAAGCCCATTTCCCTTTATAAGTGAAATAATAAGTTAATAATAAAACAATGTGCATTGAAATATCATCATATACACTTAATAGTTGATTTAATGCTGTCTTCCTATCTTCCTATTCCACAGTTTTCTGTATTACCTTCTGCAGCCACAACACCATCATATTGTACATCTTTACTTGTGCAATAGCTTTTAGAGGTACAATCTAATCATATTCTAATATATAATATCAACACAATTATTACAATGCATGACTATTATCATTATTAACTATTATTGTTATTAATTCATTGCTATTATTATTTGAAGGATTAAAGATCCCATGTATGTATTGAAATTTTTCTTATAAATAACAGGAACTTATCTTTAAATACACTTAGGCATTTACAATTTACTAATTAGTTTATTCAATATCAAAATAATGCCATTATACACTTAGGCATTTACAATTTACAATTTGCAAATTAGTTTATTCAATATTAAAATAATGTCATTATACACTTAGGCATTTACAATTTACAATTTACAATTTACAATTTACTAATTAGTTTATTTAATATTATAATAATGTCATTATACACTTAAGCATTTACAATTTACAATTTACAAATCCTTCATTTAATTGTATATTTTTATCCATAAACAACTACATTTCCAATGAATTATACACAAATTACAATTTATGTATATATGACAATTTACAAATACGTTGTAAATTTACAAATGACAAAGGAACATTACATGCACTGGTCTCATACTGAGCCTCTAATGGTTTACCTGTCTCGATCTGCGTTTTTTTTGTCCGATCATAACTCAGGAACCCCTGGACCGATTTGCCTCAAATTTTGATTGGAGAACTCGGTAGACCCACGGTAATGTCCTTAGATTTGTTTTGAGATTCTAAGTTTAATTATTTTAAAAAAAATTGTATTTTGAGAAACTTATTCTTTTTCCTACTTTTCTTAGATATATGATTCTAATGAGCCATCATTCAGCAAAAAGTAAGCTGTTTGTACTCATCCTCAAGATTGTAGGGGATTTTTTTTTAATTTTAGTTTTTGGAAAAACTGAAGATTTTCCTGGTTGCAGAGCTTTTTTATCTTTACAGGCAGTACATCCTTTACTTTCCCTGTATTAAAAATAAGTATTGGCTATTCGTGATTCGAAAATTTTCAGTAATACATTTAAATTATTTATAGTTTAACTCAAATCTCTACATCTAGGCTAGGTATCTATCTTAATGAATTATAATGTTTTATAAGTTGAATTCTGTTGAAAATCTAGTTTTTTAGTTTTCACTCAGTATTTGACTCTTGTTGAGTTTTTCTGGTAAAAAAAATGTTCGCTCTGGAATTTACAACTTGCCTCCTTTACAAATTCCTTACTACGGGCCTGTTCGGCTCAATCAAAGTGTATCATCTACTCTTTGCCTTGTGCCACTTTTCAACAGAAGGAGGGAGGACATTATCTAAGACAAAAAAGAAGAGAAGGGGAAAATGTAGGAGACGCAAAAATGTAAACAAGGATGAAAGGGGAAAAATTAACAACCGAATTCTGAAAAAAATATCTTTTCTTGTAAAATTGCCTTGTTCACACCTTGTTTACACATTGTTCACACATAGTTCATTCATTGTTCACACATTGTTCACACTTTGTTTACACATTGTTCATACATTGTTCACACATAGTTCATTCATTGTTCACACCTTGTTTACACATTGTTCACACCTTGTTTACACATTGTTCACACATAGTTCATCATTGTTCCCACATAGTTTATTCATTGTTCACACATTGTTCACACTTTGTTTACACATTGTTCATACATAGTTAATACATTGTTCACACATTGTTCACACTTTGTTTACACATATGTTCACACTTTGTTTACACATAGTTCATTCATTGTTCATTCATTGTTCACACATTGTTCACACTTTGTTTACACATTGTTCATACATAGTTCATTCATTGTTCACACATTGTTCACACTTTGTTTACACTTTGTTTACACATAGTTCATTCATTGTTCATACATTGTTCACACTTTGTTTACACATTTTTCACACACTGTTCATTCATTGTTTACACATTGTTCACACATTGTTCATTCATGGTTCACACATTTTTCATGCATTGTGCATACATTGTTCATGCATTGTTCATACATTGTGCATACATTGTTCATACATTGTTCATACATTTTTCAAACATATTGTTCATACAATTTCTTCTATTCGATTTCTGCTCACTGTTCATACAATATCACAAAGTCATCTGAAGAAACTAGATACATTCACTGATGAATTTGTGAAAAAATGGACTGGATTACCACTCTGTTCAACAAATGCTGCTCTACACTTGAAACCTGACTTAGACATCTGCACTTCAATATCCACCCTGTACAAAACAACTAGCTAATGACGCAAGCATACACTAGGATAAGAATACTAGGTGATGAAACAGTTAACTCTGCCTTACAATCTAAATTAGACAGGGAAAAAAATTGGCTCCGCAAAAATTCCACCACAGACTATGCAGAAAAAATGTTTCAACAAGCCACATTAGATAACTATGGACAAGCAGAAATGCCTCTGTGGGATGGCCAAGCTTCCAAACATCAATGCTATAGAAAAATGAAAAAACTGTCAGTGAAAAAGTATCTTTTGAAAATGAAACTTTCAGGAGAGAACATACAAAAACACTCATAAAACAAGGACATTTTCTCTGCCTGGCAATGATTGAAAATCTTACATGATCTGAAAATCTTACATGTTCAATCTGAAGAAAGGTACACTGAAATCTCTACTCAACTCCTGTTTGGACACCCTGCCAACACAAACCAACCTTCTACAATGGGGAAAATCTGCATCAGATCTCTGTAAACTATGTCTACAGGCAGGCGCTGAATTGCAAGGTAGAAGCCAAGAAACTTCAAACCATATTTTGAATGGCTTCAAGGTTGCACTACACCAAAAAATACTTGGAGGCACAACAATCTTATAAATATATCACTGGATTAATTGATATTGACCGATTTTTGGTGAAATGCCGACATCCCGTCCCATATCCTTCCAGGGGGAGGTGCTGTTCCCCCCCCCCCCCCTACCTCCTTGTGACCGCGCAGACACCAGATCTAGTAATTATCGATATAATGGAGAACATTTTATCACAGATATAACAACTAGGGATGTGTCTGTTCACCCTTTTGAAATCGGCTCAAGAGGATATATCTCACCATCAAATAAAGCAAATCTAAAGAAACAGCATGTTCTGCAAACCCAGTGTTAGTTTCAAAGCAATGTGCGAAAATCTATCAAGCCTTGCAGTGCTGTCATCATATGTTTTTAGAAAACATAAAACGCTATAGACTGGGACCAAGAAACCCCATTTCTGAAAACCACCTCTAAATAACTGTAAAACTACACTCATGCTAAAAGTTTTGTATTGCACCTGTTTTTTTGAAAACCCGGTCAATTATAAAATGCGATATCCAGAGAAAAGAGTATTAGTCCTAAATTGTAAACTTTATATTGTTTAATGTAATTTTGCTTTAGACAAATATTAATGATGAATATACATATATATAAGTGTTAAAAGTTACATAAACCAAAACCATTTGGGGTCACAGTGTACACAACCAGAGTACACTCGTACCATTTAGAAGATTCCGAACCGTCAGATTCATCAGATCATTCTTAGATTTTACCGCTCTAAGCGCAGCGCAGTAGAGATTTGTGTGCTTAAGGTGAGAGATGTGTGTTTTGAAAACGTGTATACACTATACAGTGAACAGAACAGACAGCACACACGTTAAGCTTTCAGGGATGGGGAGGGGGGCGAGCTTTCAGAGGCGTATTCAGGGGGGGGCTATGAGACTAAGCCCCCCCTGGACCAAGGAAATCTATGGATTTCATGGGGGGTGTTCAGGCCAATTCCTGAATATGTGAATACGCCCCTTAGCTTATTACATTATGATTATTCAAATTATTATTTTTTTATGCAGGGTATCCCTCGAAACATAACAGTTGGTGAATAGTTTGAAATGTCTACATAGTTTTTAAGTATTATGTTGATACCAAATAATAATAAATGCAATATGGCAGTCATATAATAGTAAAATTGATTTCAAAGTAAAATATATTTGACCTTTGAGTAAAAGATTTTAAACTGCAAATAGTCTTTGATATCAAGTACAGTTTATGGAAGAGGACATTCAAAACTTTTCACCCACTGTCATGTTTCGTGGGACACCCTGTATAAATACTATAAAGCAGGGACCCCTGGACCGAATTGCCACAATTTTCGATTGGGGAACACGGGGACCCACATGAATGTTTTTAGATTGGTTTGAGATTGTAAGTTGAGTATGGTCGAGTTTTTTAGCGAAAATTTAGTTCTCTGGTAAAATTATCCAAGTACGGGTAAACGGTTTGAGTAATTATGAGTATCCTGGGCAGCGCCGGGTTCCCAATTATCTGTTAGGATTTGGTCACTTATATAGTTACTAGGCTCTTAGGACGCTTCGCGCCCATCTTCTATTTAAAAAAAAATTCGCGGATTTTCAAGAATTTTTTTTTTTACAAAATTAAAAACCTTTAAAACACATTTTTTTTAATTTTTCACATTAATAAACCTTCCCTGTGGCCTCACGTGATCTCCCACAAAAAATTTGGGCCCGATCGGTTCAGCCGTTTTGACGTTTATAGGATACAAACAAACAAACAAATAGACACCCAAACAGACAAGCTATATTATATATAGATTTCAAAATACACAGAAATAATACAAAGACATCAAAGCTACTAATTGTAAAGTAAAATTACGCAAATTGATTTTAAAGCCGTGCATTTTCTATACCATCTTCTGTACGTTTAACTCTTTAAATCTATATAAAAATATCCGTTTCAAAGTTTTTTATTCTAAATAGCTCTTAAATCTTTCAATATTTTTCAGATAATGATAAAATATGCTTTTTTTATTTTGTCTTTCAACATATATTCAGCAACTTCAGGAATATTTACATAATATATTCTTTTTTAAAATAAAAATAGTAAAACAATTTGAAAATAATGAATGAATTATATAATGTAAATGAATGTGTAGATGGATGTGACTCTGTTGAAATGCTTTTCATCGATAATCCAAAATTTGCATTTGTAAACAATGAAACTGAATTCAAGTTTGAGGCAAAAATGAATTATACAGTAAAGTTGAGGTAAGGAAAATAAACGCTAAAGGGACTGTGCGTAAATTCAAGTGAACCCCTAAAATAATGAAGATAAACGTTGAAGGGACTGTGCGTAAATTCAAGTGAACCCCTACAATAAGGAAGATATTGTTGTTTTTCCTGTCTGGGAAAGTGATAAAATACTGTCAATTTTATTCATCGTTTATGCTGCAAGCATCATCAGGACAGTCTTTGTTTTATATATATACTGCAATTGAAAAAAATCAATTTTCAGATTGAAATACAAAGAATTTCTCCGTCATCCTTGATTAGATTATAGACTAGACTAGACTAGATTAGATTTGACTAGACTAGACTAGACTAGACTAGACTAGACTAGACTAGACTAGACTAGACTAGACTAGACTAGACTAGACTAGACTAGACTAGACTAGACTAGACTAGACTAGACTAGACTAGACTAGACTAGAATAGACTACACTAGACTAGAATAGACTAGACTAGACTAGACTAGATTAGACTAGACTAGACTAGACATACCACTTTATGAATATATGGTAAATTAAATGTACGTTTACGCTCTCTTTAATATCTTTTTAATATCTCTTTAATATCTCTTTAATATCTCTTTAATATCTCATTAATATCTCTTTAATATCTCTTTAATATCTCTTTGATATCTCGTTTAGACTATGATCAAAGATAAACGGATAGTTTTTCTAAAAAAAAAATCATCAAAAATGTTACTTGAAAAAAATTAAAACCCCCGTTGTGAATCAGAGGTGTTACTCCATGAATAGAAAGGTCATGTGAAATTAAAGGGAGTGTTCGCGAAAAATTAAAGGGGGTATAAGCTTGTTGAAGAATGTTGCATCTATCAGAATTTGTATGGACACTACGATCTTCGGTGTGAGTCGTTTTTAACAATTTTCTCCTTATTATAGACACAACAGATAGAAGTAAGATTAGTAGCGATCAAAAGCGCTTTTTTATCGCATTAAGCCTAAACCCCCTTTCATTTTTCGCGAACACTCCCTTTCAGGGACCGAAATTTTATGTCAGATATATTCGTATTTCTCACTCGAAATTCTGATAATCAACCATTGCTTCATATATTGCGCAAGTCACTTTACTTCTCAGAGAACCCGTAAATGAAAATAACCTGTTTCAAGAAACAAAATCATTGATGCGTAATTCATAATTGATCAGACAAAGCTTTAAGAGTACCATTGTAAAACGGGCATTGCCATCTTTGCAGGGGGGTCTCTTGAAATTACGCTTACAGTCCCTTTAAAATTACGAAGAAAGTCTTTTTACAAGGATGCATGTTTAGATTTACTAATGTTGATGGTCCAGTGGAAATCAGATTAAATTCTTCCTGGCATCCTCTAGGGGTTCACCCCAATACATTCAATATCGAAGGTAGAAAAACAAATTATAAAAATTATTTTAAAAAAAAAATCTTTTTAAATCTCTTTGTTGCCAGAAATAAGCCAAGGATTATGTGTGTACAAAAAAAATGGTTGTAGAGAAATAAAACTTTATGAAATAGTGTAGTAAACACCTACTCCATAACAATTTTTTGAAACGTATCTTCACAGGTCCGTTCTCTATCAAACTCAAACAGTACAGAATCCCAGGCTCTAAATGCCAAAATTCAGCTACTAATACAGTGCTCTAAATGCCAAAATCCAGCTACTAATACAGTGCTCTAAATGCCAAAATCCAGCTACTAATACAGTGCTCTAAATGTCACACAAGGACACAAAATTAGCTATACAACAAGCTATATATATCGTTCCCAAATGATGGGGACGATTCAATACTCTAAATACCACACAAGGGCACAAGCCTACTATACAACAATCTATATATCGTTCCCAAACGATGCATGGAACGAATCAATGCTCTAAATGCTTCACAAGAACACAAGCCTAGAAGCTATACAATAAGCTATATATCGTTCCCAAACGATGCATGGAACGATTCAATGCTCTAAATGCCACACAAGGGCACAAGCCTATAACTATACAATAAGCTATATATCGTACCCAAATTAAAGAGGACAGTACGGAGTTCATCTATCAACTGAGGTTTATTTCTTAGTTCATATTAGAATTGGATCTTTAACAGCGTAATTACAAGTTATGCACTGTTATATATATATAACGTTGTTAACCATTAATTTCAAAACCTCTGTAAAATGTCGTCTTCTACTGGAATCTCCTGTCGGAGACAGCCAAACCAAATTTTCAGCACGCAAATTCCATTGTCCTCCTCCGACGGAGCTTGAAATATTTCGTTGTTGTGAAATCATTAAAGTTAAGCAAAATATTTTCATAAGAAGCATAAGTGAATTTCGTTAAATATTCAACTGTAATTTTTTTCAGAAGTTAAAAAAACGTATTTCAATACTGATCAACAAATAAGTCACCCCCGACATAATCAAATAATTCGTAAGATTTTTCTACTATTAACATTTATTATAACATTGTACAAGCAACCATGATCTATAATCTATGTTATTTTTTTTAGGAAATAAAGATTTTGTTATCGAATTTCTGTGACGGGGTTACTCTGTTGTGTGTGTATTGTTCGGCCATCGGGAAAGAATCGTCTGGGGATAATAAACACCCCTTTCAAAATCCTAACCGGCCTATTATCCGGATTTGTCTAGCGTGTTGCTGTTATCTGTCAACAAACGTAGTTAATAATCAAAATATATGGGTATGACGGAGTTATATACATATCTACGTACATTGGAATGGGTTAATCGCAATACAGAATTTGCCTCAATTTTTGCTAGAATATCACGTTTTTGCCCGAGTGTATCAATTTTACAATATCAACAGCCTTTTTTTTTATACATTACAAAAACAACAATTCCAAGGAACATGGATTTCTAAAATCAGGAAAAACAATTTTATAATAAAATGTTTTAACTCTGACTGGCCATAAACCTTTTATGTTATGAGTTGCCACAAAAAAGTTGGCCCTTATTGATTCAGGTTAAATTTTCAGTGGACAAATATATTAATAGATTACTTTGGAGATGATTTTCTTACTTTTAAATTTTAGGAAACACAGTTGAAGAAATTTCATTACTAGCCTGGGTCCCATATGTGTACACAGTTGACGTATATTGCAGTACGGTACAGCAGAGCAATTCACTGGGACACGAGGACAGTACACTAACACAAACAAACAGTACACTACTGGACACAATAAGGAAAGGATCACAATTCTAGTGATTGAGTGATTTTATTAACGATCTCATTTATCCTTTAAACAATTTAAACGATGAAGAAACTAATTACTAATTTTCTAATCCCTATATCTTTAAAGCCTGATGGTGTTAACCTCTGACATTTCAAAATTTGACTATACCTTTTTTTGAAAGTATAATCTTGCCAAAATACTATTTAAGTTTAAAACGTCACAGGACTGTCAGGTTGCAAAGATTTAACGGTTAGAAAATTAGAGAAGGAGAGTAATTATTTCTTTTAGTTACATAAAAGGATTTAAATTAGGTAAAAATTTCCAAAATTGGAGGATTTTGTGCTCGATTAAATAAAAAGCTATGGATCCTGTCTGATATTGGATAAAAAAACCACGTTGTTTAAAAGATAGATCTTTTATTTTTTTTGTCAAGTTGTCATTAGTGAGACTTATTTATCCCAATTTTCTGAGACAAGCCGAGTTATAAAAAATACATTGAATAACTAAAGTTTTACATATATTTTTTAAGAGTATTTTGCTTTTGCAAACCTCAAATTAGTATCCCTTATGCATTTATAATGTATGTCTATTTCAATAATCGATATGATTGTATAAGCTTATTATACACTTACATAATTCACTAAACAATAGAACAACCGTATATACGTTGTACTTTCATTTGAAAATAAACCAGATAAACAGTCCGAGAAAATGTTTAATTTAGAAAATATGTTTTGTATCTAAACCTTTTTTCATTTCAGAAAAAAGTAAGGATCGGCCTCATTAAACTTTTTTGTTTTGTTTTTCGAACCCCGTATATTCCACACAGTTGCATATCCATTGTTTGCAAAATGAAAATATTTCAAAGACAAACTATTCTCAGAATTTTGGGAGGAAGTTGGAGGAATTTTCATAAAGTAATGAATGAGTAGATGAGGAATTTGTAAAGAAGATTGACAGATATATAAATAGACTAGCTTGGGAACCCAGCGTTGTCCAGGTTATTCATGGATATATAGATAGATAGATAGATAGATAGATAGATAGATAGATAGATAGATAGATAGATAGATAGATAGATAGATATTTAGATAGATAGATAGATAGATAGATGACAGACAGACAGATAGATTAATTTTACCCCTGAATACACTCAACTACGCAGGATGAGAGAGGGGTGGGGTGGATGTAATATTTAAGCAGGGATAGAACCTCAAAGTTTCAAGATGTTATAGAGTAAGCCCTAACTTCAATCTAGACATAAGGAAAAGGTGGTTCGACCTTGTAGTTCCCCCTGGTTTAGACGTCTACTAAAGAAATATACTTTATTTTGTACTTTTTGTTACGCCTATACAGGTAAACTCATTAAATAGCATAGAAATGATATAAATCGGTGTCACAGTTTTTAAGAAAATTTGAGACAGAAATTGAATTTGTTTGTAAATACAGAGTACAAATTTGTTTGCATAAATATTCTGATATTAGATAATTGAATAATCATTCTGATATTAAAAAATCGAATAATTATTCTGATATCAGATAATTTAATAATATTAGATAATTAAATTAATCATTACGAAATTAGATAACTATATAATAAATAGTTGTTATGAAATTAGATGATTAGATATATTTATCTAGAGATTAGATGATTATATATTTACCAAGGAATCAAAATTAGATAAATATTTTGAGATTAGATAATTAGATATAATTTTACCAAGAACATGATGGAAGATGCATTTCAAAGAAATAAATTTGAGAACAAGGAAGATTTATTGCAGAAAATGATGTACAAGAAGAAATGAGATAGGATGTGTGCAACTGCACAGACGTGTGAGCAATGAGCACTTTGTTTAATTGCTTCGACCATCATCTATTTTTTATACTATATTAGCTAATTATTTTGAGATTATATAATTATAATTGTGGAATCCTTATCAGAGCTATTGTGAAGAAACCAAGACAAGAACAAGTGTTGACAAAAATATTCGGCTTAGGAAATTTTAATAATGAAATTGTAAATTTATAACCAGGGACTTTTAATTCATTTTATTCAAGAGTCTATTCTTATGTGTTTTTTAAAGCTTACTTTTTATCTTAATTTCTATTTTTTACTTTTTTAAAATTTTCATGAAAATTACAATTTATTAATAATTTCCACTTATTTAGTTACAAATGTTTTAATGGCCTTTGCAATGCTAGTTATGGGTAAGGAATTAAAAAAAGGAAAATTTATACATGGCTGCATAGTTTAATAACAATTCAGGTACAACACTAGATGCCGTTTTTTCAAGATTTTGGAGTTTTTTCGTTCACAATAACCCTGAGGCTGAGCCCAAAGGAGTTCCACGCAAGCAGCGTTGAATTACAAGAAAGAGAGAGAGCATGAGCGTAACTCTTTGGGGCTCTGCCTCAGGGTTATTGTGATTTGTTTACGAAAAACTCCTAAATTTTGAAAAGACGACATCTAGTGTTGTTAATGTCTTGTTATTAATCTATGCATGGTTGTGAAAAAAGGGGCTTATATATATACATGTAAAGTTTTACTGGTCCTAAACTTGATGCATGAACTATGTTATTAATATCTAGGGACTGATGAACTATGTATAAATATCTAGGAACTGATTAACTATTTATGTATAAATATCTAGGGACTGATGAACTATGTATAAATATCATAAATATCTAGGGACTGATGAACTATGTATTAATATCATAAATATCTAGGGACTGATGAACTATGTATTAATATCTAGGGACTGATGAACTATTTATAAATATCTAGGGACTGATGAACTATGTAGAAATATTTAGGGACTGATGAAATATGTATAAATATCTAGGTACTGATGAACTATGTATAAATATCTAGGGACTGATGAACTATGTATAAATATCTAGGAACTGATTAACTATGTATAAATATCTAGGGACTGATGAACTATGTATAAATATCTAGGGACTAATGAACTATGTATAAAAATCTAGGGACTGATGAACTATGCATAAATATCTAGGGACTAAGGAACTATGTATAAATATCTAGGGACTGATGAACTATGTATAAATATCTAGGTACTGATGATCTATACATAAATATCTAGGTACTGATGAACTATGTATAAATATCTAGGTACTGATGAACTATGCATACATATCTAGGGACTGATGAACTATGTATAAATATCTAGGGACTGACCTAGAGTTTGATATTATCCTAGCATACCTCCGCAGACCTATCGGGCCGGTCATTGGGATAATCTCACAATTTATAGGTAGGAATAGGTATGGATAGGTATGGATAAGTAGGAATAGGTAGGAATAGGTAATGGTATGGAAAGGTAGGAATAGGTATGGATAGGTAGGAATAGGTAGCGATTGGAAGGAATAGTAAGGAATTGGTAGGAGTAGTTAGGATTAGGTTGAAATATGTAGGAATAGGTTGGAATAGGTAGGGATAGGTAGGAATAGGTAGGGATAGGAAGGAATAGTTAGTGATTATTAGGGATAGTAAGGAATAAGAAGGAATATGTATAAATACGTAGTAATAATTAGGAGTAGGTAGGGATTTATAGGAATAGGTAGGGATAGGTTGTGTTAGGTAGGGATAGGTCGGAATAGGTTGGAATAGGTAGCAATTGGTAGGAATAAGTAAGGATACATGTATAAAAGTTACAAACAAACAATTTTAGGGATGCCTGTTATTGCCTATGTGGTTGGCTACTTGATTCTTAGGTTAGTTCGGCTTTAAAACTATTAAATATTTCGTAATGTTCTAATTTAAAAAACCAGATAAAATCATGATGATGTTTTTTAACAGCATGGTCTTGAAAATAAGGTTAATAGCTTTCCAATATTTATCTTGAACTACTTTCCTAAAATATCGATTTAAAAATGTATATATTTTAATATTTAATTAATCGTATAAAGTAAATATTTAATTACCATTATTACATTCACATTCATAATATTGTTATTGTTATTGTTATTGTTTTCATTATTGTTATATTGGACTGTAATGCAGTGAGCAGCCGTTTGCCCGACTTGGATTGTTATTGATTGGAAGTAGTCCTGGAGGGTCAGCATCCAACTTCTGGACAGTTCTTTTTAAAGGTTAAATAATCATTAAAATATAAAAAAAATGTTATTACTTAAACAATTTTAAGAAATTTTTCAGTAAGATATTCACTATTTTTTTTAAACATTTTCACCGAAAGTTCATAATTTAATTTAACATCTGCATAATTATGATTATTATTTTTTGCTATTTTCAATATCATCACTATATAATCATTTCCTTAAATATTATTTATTTGTTATTAATTTTATTATTATTTATTTTATAATCAATATTTCCAGGGGACAAAAATTTATCAGTTACGATGACCTTCTGCAGTTCTGTGGCAAGCTTTGGAATGACGACATTTTGGATTTACATTCTTGGATCTGTAAGTTTGCACAGCTTTTTAATTCGATTTTCGTATGGTATTCATGTTGAAGGAATTGATTACTGCCCTCACACTCTAATTGTTTAACCTGTAAATCTTTACAACCTGATGTTGTAAACCAGGGGCATATACAGGAATTTGTTCAGGGGGGCTTTAATTTTTTTTCTTTTTACGGGGGGGGGGGCTGCTCAGCCTCACATAAAGTCAAAAGTTTTCAGTTGGTTATTATTAATGAGTTTCAGGTCGCCATGTTATGATCTAATTCTTTGTGGGTAACCCTAAGTATTAAACTTTTACTAAGTTATCTGGCATGGAATTATGGTTTATTTACGACGAAACCAATTTTCAAAGATATAAGGATCTTTAGACCGTTAGATCTGTAACCATTAATTGACAATAATAGATAGAACTCTAGATGTCATCTTTTCAAGATTTAGGGGTTTTTCGTTCACAATAACCCTGAGACAGAGGCCTAAATGGGTTACTCATATGCGCTCTCTTTGTCTTGTAATTCAATGCCTTGTAGTAAATGCCATACTTCAATAAATACTTTTATATCATTACCAATCCAGGTACAACTCAATCACGAACTCCAGGTTCTCAAATAACACCTTGGTTAGTATCAATCCGGATACGACTCTTTTTGTATTCTTAGGTACCTGTCTTACAAGATACAACTCAATCTAGAACTCAAGGTTCCTCACTAATTCCATAGTCAATTTCAATCCAGATACGAATCAGTCTGTATTCTCAGGTATCTGTCTTACAAGATGCAACTCAAGGAAAACAAGGAAAAATTACTATAATACCGTAATCAAGCAGAGTTTTCTTCCTACTAAAGATATTTTGAGTTCAATGGTACAGGTTACATTCATGAACGTAATTACAAGTTATTTATAAGCGTAGCTTGGTTTATCGCAATACTGGTTTGTCGTAGTTATTTAAAAGCATAGTTAGGTTACAAGGTATTACATAATTTATCTAGGTGTGTTCAGTTTTATAAATATGGGGTTTGCTACAATATTTATTACAGCCTCAGGGTTGTTGTAAACGAAAAGACCTCTGAATCTTTAAATTAATTAATCTATATCTATAACCAAAGAATAGTTTGAAACTTTCCTGTATTTTATGTCAAATTGTTTATTAGACAATTTAAGATCATAACTTAAGTCCAAAGGTCGTCTTCCTATTTCACTGTTTTATGGGTTTTGCTGTATTTTAGACAATAATTTCTGAAGCGTTTGACCTTCCCTATCTACAGCTATTTGTATCTTTAATCAGGTAAAAGAATTTTTTTAAACAAAAGCCTTTCAAACGACGGAAAGTGTTTTTACATGAAAAAATAAATGTTTTTCTAACTTGAGAACCCGCAATTTAGATCAATTAACATGGGAATTCAGTGACGAATTCGATATCGTCTTTTCAAATAATTCTTTGAATTAGTATGTGATACCTACTGAGAAAGCTGTAATCTGTAAGAGTGTCGTCTGCTATGTTCACATTTTGTTTGTTTATGTTTTGACTGCATACAGTTGTACTTAGTAAAACAAGAAAATTGCAGTATACGAACAGAATAAACTTGTCCGTCTTCACTGTTCATCTTGCGGAGACATTATAAACTCATCTTTACAGCCTTTTACCCTTTTTATAAAATAAACTCTAGCAGACATAATAATATAATGGCTTTTGAAATTAGGTATTACATTGCTAATTCCTAACAAAGACGATATCGAATTCGTCACTGAATACCTAATACATAACTATGACATCTTAAAGATTTCTTTTATTGGTGAAATTTTTCCATGGTTTATATCAGTTCCTTATCAAAATGTTTGAGCCCGCCCGATCGGTTCAGCCGTTTTGGTGTTTACTGGAGACAAACAAACAAACACAAAACAGACAGGGCAATTGTAAAAAAGATACACTCCTGTTGTCGCTAAGGAACAAGATTCTGACGATGAACAGATAGACAAAGGAATAACCCTCAAATCAAAATCGATAATGCAGAAAACTCTTTATTTCCTAAAAAAAATGAAATGAATAATGATAAATAATTATTACAATGGTTTACGAATTTATAATGAAAAGATTCTTACGATCTATTTGCTTATTTGTGGGTTAACTGTCGGAGAGTCCTAAGACGCTTTTTATACATTAAAACTTCTGAAAAGAGTGACAATTAAATGTTATGGAAAGTCACTAATTCTTTATATGAAAATATTCTTGCTTAACTTGAAGTGGTTCACAATTAATAAAAGCGTTTATACTCCGTTGTCGGAGAACAAAGAGAAGCGGGCTGAAATTGTTTGGTTTGGTTTCGTCTCCGAGAGGAGCTTTAAGTTGAAGACGACATTACATAGAGGGGGGGGGAGTCTTAATGTTAATGGTTGACAACTCCTTATCTAACAGAACTTGTAAACTTGTACAAAACAAATTGAATGAAGCAGGAAGGAAAAACAATGAATTGTAAATATATTGAATTTTCAAAATGCACAATGCATAAATTTCAAACTAACGTGTTTTATGCTTTAAACATACAAAAATTCGAAAAATGTACACAAACACAATAACTAGAATAAATACTAAATCCTTTTTCTTCGAAACAAGGAACCATTAATTACTGTAAGCGTAATTTTACGTGACCCTCCAAGAAAGGTGGCATTGCCCGATTTTTAACGGTACCCTTAAAAGCTTTGTCTGATCTAGTATGTATTTCTTGCTTATAAGAAACAATGGAGCAATTCACAGAAATAAATACGACGACGATATTTTCCACATTTTTGATCAGATTAAGGTTTCAAGGGTAGAGTTATAAGCGGGGCATTGCTTTCTGTGCATAGAAGGTTACTAAAAATTGCGCATAGTCCCTTTAAAAGTTTAAAATCCTGAAAATAACTCTACGTAATCCTGCAGTGAAAATTCACAAGTCACTTGTGTAAACCACAGTTGAAAATTATCATGTAGAGTTGGAGAGACTAGTGTATCGGGGGATAATAACAAACGTTTCTTGCAGGAAGTACTAGGTTTTTCGAGTGCAATGTGTTTATTTTGGCGTTAAATCCAGAAATAAAGGGAATGGAAATATGTCACTGGTCTGGCATGAGAAAGCCAGTCCCACTGCTGTACAGACGGCAAAAATGTACTTTCTTGGACTGTAAGATAAAAATTTACTTTCCTAGACTGTAAAATACAAATGTACCTTCCTAGACTGTAAAATACAAATGTACTTTCTTAGACTGTAAAATACAAATGTACTTTCCTAGACTGTAAAGCACAAATGTACCTTCCTAGACTGTAAGGTAAAAATATACTTTCCTAGACTGTAAAATACAAATGTACTTTCTTAGACTGTAAAATACAAATGTACTTTCCTAGACTGTAAAGCACAAATGTACCTTCCTAGACTGTAAGGTAAAAATATACTTTCGTAGACTGTAAAGCCCAAATGTACTTTCCTAGTTTGTAAGGTAAAAATATACTTTCCTAGACTGTAAGGCACAAATGTGATACTTATAAACTCTATATACCTACGGTACAAATATTTCGTTCCTTATTGGTTCCTAATTGAAGCCTAACAGACACACACTCTTTTGGTACGGACACACACGCATGAGTGACGTTTCCGCCCCCTGGTTAAAGCTTGGAGATAATCCAATTTGATATTGGATGTTCTGCAGTCCGGAGAAAAATAATCATAAAACTAATCATTTATTTTATTTGTTTGTTTAGTTTGGTTCTACCGATCTTTGTAGGTCTACTCATCACAAAGAAAAAACCTAAGTGGGGAGCCAGGCAACAAACATAAAACTTTTAATACTTTGAAAAAAAATGTAATTATCAATTTTTTATTTGAATTTGATTTATTTTCGAAACAGCAATGCGGCGAAATAAAAAAAAACATCGAATAGGCACATTTAAAAAAAAATAATTGCATTGCATTATGTCAAGAATGCAAACATTTCTTTAAATTTGGCACAACGTGTTAGAAAGTTTTTGGACTTAAATTTTCTCTGTATCTCGGAGGTTCTCGCTTTTTTAGATTATATTTTGTCCCTCCCTAGCACTACTAACCAAAAAAATAGTGTTTTAAAAAGTTTTATAAAATTTATGTTGATGTTGTACTGCAGGATTCGGCAGTACAGTAGACCAGTGTTTTTGTTTATTGTCTTATTATCAGTAGGAGTAGGAATATATGTTCAAAGGAAAACCGGTTTCTGAAACAAATAAATTCATTTTTTCATTCTATTCAAAATTATTAACAAGTACAATAGGATGGCAATGCTTAATTTAAGAAACAGTAAAAAAGAAATGCAAAGCACATAAAAAACTACACTCGGGAATTGAGTCTTTGCCACAAACTCTGATTTGCTTATCTCTACATCTTTGCAACCCGATGTGGGAGTTCTTTGATATTTCAAACTATGAATTTTTTTTAGATCAAATAATCTTAGATTGTGACTAAGACACAATTCCTTTCATTGCAAAGTTTAGAAACAAATCACCGTTATTGAACATTTTGTCTGACTCTGAAGATTAAAATTTCACTACTTACAACTGTACATAAGGTATTCTCCATTGCCGCCTAATGTACTTGACAACTTTGGCGTTTTCATCATTTCTAAACTTTTTTTTTCTATTCCCTCGTTCTAATCTTGTGGTTTAAACCTTTGATTTATCAACTCTAACTAATTATTCTTGCAAAATTAACTACGACCAAACTATCAGGTTGCAAAGATGTTTGAATGGATAAATTTGGGAATGAGAAAGTAATCAACGTTTTTAGATTTTAAATATGATTATGTTCCCATTTCAATTTCTTTAAAATCAAATCTCAAAACTAAATTCTGTTTTTGTTCAATAAAAGAAATATTAAATCAGATCAGTTTGGTGTTTATCAGATTCTTTTTTGTGATGGTTTCATGGTCGGACTTTGTGAGTGGAATTCTGCTTAGTGCGTCAGGATATCTTCTTGGGGCCTTACTGGCTTTGTAAGCATTATTATTATTATTATTATTATTATTATTATTATTATTATTGTAATTATTATTATTATTATTATTATTATTATTGTTATTATTATTATTATTATTATTATTGTTATTATCATTATTATTATTATTATTATTATAATTATAATTATTATATCATAATTATTATAATTATTAATATTATTATTTTTGTTATTAAAAACGGTATAATTAATACATAATACTACTATCTACATTATATTATATATTTACTATTATTATTATTTTTTTAGTGCTGCTCGACTCAACAAATCTCAAATAATTGCTGTTGCTATCGAGACAGCAATTCAAAATCCAGGAAGTGAGTAATCTATACTTTTATTGCAGCAGGGATATATATTTTCTTGATTAATCATCAACCACCTTTTTAAATAAGTTTTTTAGGTAATATGTATGTTTGCATGGTTTTTTGATAAAAATCTGATTTTTTGGGAAAATAGTAAAAAAATTTATGTTTAAAGTATCAAAAAAAGATAAAACTTGGCTTTTGGTGTCAACTTTTCACTTTCTTCCCCATTTCATCAATAATTTAACTCTTTTCACTTTCTTCCCCATTTCATCAATAATTTAACTCTTTTCACTTTCTTCCCCATTTCATCAATAATTTAACTCTTTTCACTTTCTTCCCCATTTCATCAATATTTTAACTCTTAAATTTATGAACCCCGGTATTTATGAACCCCGGTATTTTCGATTGGTGATGATAACTTTGTTCTTCATTCCAGTTTTGGATTTAAAACGTTTTTTAATAAAATCAACTAATTTTTGAATTTCTTTAAAACATTAAAAATAAATTAAACCCAACCTGCATGACTAATTTGTGAGATGGTTAAAGGGTACCATTGTGAATCGAATTGAGAGTCACAAATTGAATTGTATAATTGCTATTGCTGTAATACAATCTAACCTGAGATGAGATTTTAAATCCGAGTCAAACCTGGCCTTTGCGTCTGCTTAGACCCAAGTAAAGCTCAAGGGAAGACCTGGGTTTTGTATGGCCTTGAGTTTAGTAAAAACCAACCACCTTGGGGTTTTCTCTCTTCAAGGCTTGGGTCATCAGCAGCTGATGATCGTAAATTTTGAAGAAAAAAATTTATATTTTATTAAAAATCTCGGAATTATCTGTAGCGCTAAATTTGATCAAAGGTATGAAATAAACATACTAAGCAAATAATGTATCTACGTAAAGTTCGAATTTTCGAAATTTACATTTCCTTGTCACAGCTGATCTGCTATTGTTGTTATACAATCTAACCTGGAGTCTCCATATAGTAAAATTATATTGTATAGTTGCTATTGTTGTTATACAATCTAACCTGGAGTCTCCATCTAGTGAAATTATATTGTATAGTTGCTATTGTTGTTACACAATCTAACCTGGAGTCTGCATATAGTGCAATTATAATGTATAGTTGCTATTGTTGTTACACAATCTAACCTGGAGTCTCCATATAGTGCAATTATAATGTATAGTTGCTATTGTTGTTATACAATCTAACCTGGAGTCTCCATATGGTGAAACTATATTGTATAGTTGCTATTGTTGTTACACAATCTAACCTGGAGTCTGCATATAGTGCAATTATAATGTATAGTTGCTATTGTTGTTATACAATCTAACCTGGAGTCTCCATATGGTGAAACTATATTGTATAGTTGAAAAGATATTGTATAGTTGCTATTGTTGTTATACAATCTAACCTGGAGTCTCCATATAGTGAAATTATATTGTATAGTTGCTATTGTTGTTATACAATCTAACCTGGAGTCTCCATATAGTGAAAAGATATTGTATAGTTGCTATTGTTTTTATACAATCTAACCTGGAGTCTCCATATAGTGAAATTATATTGTATAGTTGCTATTGTTGTTATACAATCTAACCTGTCGTCTCCATATAGTGAAATTATATTGTATAGTTGCTGTTGTTGTTATACAATCTAACCTGGAGTCTACATATAATGAAATTATATTGTATAGTTGCTATTGTTGTCATACAATCCAACCTGGAGTCTCCATATAGTGAAATTGGAATTCTTCCCGTCATTTCCTTTCTGTTCACAACAGGTAAATAGATCGCTAACAATCAGTCATAAACAAAAAATATTTGGAGGTAAAAGTTATTTAATTGTATGGGGAAAAAATCATGATATTTTTCCCAAAGATTTTCTTTACTTTTACATACGAAAATATAAAAAATCTTAAATGCTGGGACAGCAAGTGTTTAAGTGTACAGAGCTGTAAACTCTTTTATTGGATACTCACAATTGCAAAATTTCCAGGCTTCTGATTAGCTGTTGGTTACTACAATCAACACTCTTTTTTCAGATATAAATGTAAGATTAAACTAATCTTAAGATTAAAATAAAGAGGAGATCAAGCATTGATCTCGATATCCACAATTCTTTAGTTTTCAGCTCTGCACATATTATAATCTAATGCCTTTTCCATGCAATTGATTTTCTATGTTACCTCCTATAATAATCTGTTACTATGGACCTCCTATGTATGTTATTAAGAATCTTCTAAATATTTCTGGTATTAAGGATCTCCTATAATATACCTGGTATTAAGGATCTCCTATCATATATCTGGTATTAAGGTTCTCCTATAATATATCTGGTATTAAGGATCTCCTATAATATATCAGTTATTAAGAATTTCCTATAATGTATCTGTTATTAAGGATCTCCTATAATATATCTGGTATTAAGGATCTCCTATAATATAACTGTTATTAAGGATCTCCTATAATAAATCAGTTATTAAGGACCACCTATAATATAGCTGTTATTTAGGATCTCCTATAATATATCTGGTATTAAGGATCTCCTATAATATATCAGTTATTAAGGATCTCCTATAATATATCTGTTATTAAGGATCTCCTATAATATACCTGATATCAAGGATCTCCTATAATATATCTGGTATTAAGGATCTCCTATAATATACCTGGTATTAACTATAATATACCTGGTATTAAGGATCTACTATAATATATCTGTTATTTAGGGCCTCCTATAATATATCAGTTATTAAGGACCACCTATAATATATCTGTTATTAAGGATCTCCTATAATATAGCTGGTATTAAGGATCTCCTATAATATATCAGTTATTAAGGATCCCCTATAATATATCTGTTATAAAGGGCCTCCTATAATACATCTGGTATTAAGGGCCTCCTATAATATATCTGTTATTGAGGACCTCCTATAATATATCTGTTATTAAGGATCTCCTATAATATATCTGGCATTAAGGATCTCCTATAATACATCTGTTATTAAGGATCTCCTATTACATATCTATTATTAAGGATCTCCTAAAATATATCTGTTACTATTGACCACCTATAATATATCTGTTATTAAGGATATCCTATATTATATCTGGTATTAAGGATCTCCTATAATATATCAGTTATTAAGTTCCTCCTATAATATATCTGTTATTAAGGACCTCCATTAATATATCTGTTATTAAGGATCTCCTATCATATATCTGGTATTAAGGTTCTCCTATAACATGTCTGGTATTAAGGATCTCCTATAATATATCAGTTATTAAGGATTTCCTATAACGTATCTGTTATTAATGATCTCCTATAATATATCTGGTATTAAGGACCTCCTATAATATATCTGTTATTAAGGACCTCCTATAATGTATCTGTTATGAAGGACCTCCTATAATATATCTCTTATTAAGGGCCTCCTATCATATATCTGTTATTAAGGGCCTTCTAAAATATATCTCTTATTAAGGGCCTCCTGTAATATATCTCTTATTAAGGGCCTCCTATAATATATCTGTTATTAAGGGCCTCCTATCATATATCTGTTATTAAGGACCTCCTATAATATATCTGTTATTAAGGGCCTCCTATCATATATCTGTTATTAAGGACCTCCTATAATATATCTGTTATTAAGGATCTCCTATAATATATCTCTTATTAAGGATCTCCTATAATATATCTGTTATTAAGGGCCTCCTATCATATATCTGTTATTAAGGGCCTCCTATATTATATCTCTTATTAAGGGCCTCCTATAATGGATCTGTTATTAAGGGCCTCCTATCATATATCTGTTATTAAGGGCCTCCTATCATATATCTGTTATTAAGGGCCTCCTAAAATATATCTGTTATTAAGGGCCTCCTATCATATATCTGTTATTAAGGGCCTCCTATGGCGGTTGCTATTATCTCAATGAAAATCTACGAGTGCTTTAGGTAATAATTTCCTTTTGTTTATTTATTCTCGACCTAATGGCGGCAAAATAAACTGGAAAATGAGAAATCAATCAATCGAAATGTTTTACTACTGCTTTTTAATATTTGTCAGCTACTTTTATTTTTTTGTACGGGGTTATCAACAAAAGATGAGACTTTAAAGACGACTGTAAAGAACTTTTTCTTTTCAAATTCACGGTTTGTAAAAACAAAGCATATTATTCTTTGATATTTAAAAAAATTTTAGCATAATTGAAGACGCACTAATGAGAATACTTTTAAATTCGCACTATTAAAAATGCATTATTATTATTATGCACAGTAAGAGACATAATATATATAATATGATGAACGGTTCTATAAATATATATTATTATTATTGAAGATTTATTCACACACATTTAATATTCATACATATATTACATATTACATATATTAATGGTATAGTTTAAATTTGTTTTGTTAGGAATGATATTAGATGTATTCATTATTCACTCTCATAATCTCCAATTTCATAAACCTGCTATTTTAAAGAAATCTATAGTCAGACTTTTGATAATATTTTTCTTTCAGGAATAAATTCCTTGCACTTAAAAAGTTGATTCAGGAAAAGTATCAAATATTGGTAACAATAAAAATGCAAGCAATATTTAGAACAAGTCAGCTTGTAATTAAAACATATTCTAACTTTTTCAGCATATTCTTGATGTTTCTAATAGACTTGACATCCAGACTAATCAAAGGGTGTAAACCCATTATCGATGTTGCAGGTAGACTTGACATCCACATATCGCACTCATCAAAGGGTCTAATCCAATTTTTGTTTCTAGTAGACTTTTAACATCCACAATAATCAAAGGGTATAAACCCATTCTCGATGTTTCTAGTAGACTTAACATCCACAATAATCAAAGGGTGTAAACTCATTCCCGATATTTCTAGTAGACTTGACATCCACAATAATCAAAGGGAGTAGACCCATTCTCTATTTGTCTAATAGACTTGACATCCACAATTATCAAAGGGTGTAAACCCATTCTCGATGTTTCTAGTGGACTTGACATCCACAATAATCAAAGAGTGTAAACCCATTCTCGATGTTTCTAGTGGACTTGACATCCACAATAATCAAAGGGTGTAAACCCATTCTCGATATTTCTAGTAGACTTGACATCCACAATAATCAAAGGGTGTAAATCCATTCTCGATGTTTCTAGTAGACTTGACATCCACAATTATCAAAGGGTGTAAACCCATTCTCGATGTTTCTAGTGGACTTGACATCCACAATAATCAAAGAGTGTAAACCCATTCTCTATTTGTCTAGTAGACTTGACATCCACAATAATCAAAGGGTGTAAACCCTTTCTCGATGTTTCTAGTGACATCCACATTTATCAAACGGGAACCTAAAAGGTTTCCTCTCGAACCTACAAGTTCTATAAGGGATTCGGCCCTAGTCCTCTAATAATTAGCAAACATTTTGCATGCTTTCCTCCAGAGAGAGGTGTTGACTCCTCAACTGCTCTCAACTAACTTAGTACCAGGTTTTCAGGCCCATCTTTTTCAATTGTCAACATTTTCTCTCTTTGTATCTATATATATATTTAAAGTTGTCTACTTGTTTGTCCGATCATAACTCAGAATCCCCTGGACTGAATTGCCTCAAGTTTTGTTTGAGGAACACGGGAGACCCACGGGAATGTTCTTAGCTTGGTTTTGAGATTCTAAGTTGATTGGGTTGACTTTAACAGCGAAAATTTAGTTTCCCGGTAAAATCGTTCAAGTGCGGGTAAACGGCGGAGTAACTTTTAGCAACCTTGGCAGCGCTAACTTTATGTGAGGTCTCACAAAAAATTTGGGCCCGATCGGTTCAGACGTTTTGATAAACAAAAAAACAAACAAGCTTAGTGTATATATAGATTTGATCATTCTGTTTTCTGTTTTAGAAGCAGGAGTAATGCATCAAAACTGGAAGAAGCAAATATAAATACAATATCGTCTGTTCCCGGATACTCTGCAGAACAGCCGGGTTACTTGAAGGAACATCCGGACCCAACCAACCATGCGGGACACTTGTCGGACAATCCGGGATTTGAGGGAGACAATCCGGAATCTGGAAATCTTCCCAACCATGTTGGTTATCAAACGGCCGGCTTGGATACATAATTTAAATGTTACAATCCTTCCACCCTCCTCCTCCCCCAGCTGGACAATATAAGGGTATCCATCTGTTTAACATGAAAGGTAGTTATATGTCGAGTTCACTACGCTTTTAAGAATGTTTTGTCCTAAAAGAAAAGAATATATTGGTGCCAAAGTAAAAGAAACTACATAGTTTATATTATGGAAACTACTTGCATTTTAAATTGTGATTTTTCAGTGCTTGAATACGTATTAAATGTGCAATGAAAATGCTTAAATGTGCCTATTTTAAAGGAAATGTAAATTTTCATTTGCCCCCCCCCCATTTCCACTTCAAGAATTTAAACCCTAAAATTTATTTAAAAAGGACCACTCGAAATTATCCTAACAATTCCTTTTTCCAATTTTCTTTTATAACGTTAAGGACTGGAAATGATATTTCAAATGATCCTCCAGCCTTAATTGATAGAGTGGCATGTCCTATTCCCAACGGTACCCTTAAAAGCGTTGTAGGATAAAGTATGAATTTCATGTTACAGAAGTGTTGAATGAATTAACAGAATTAAACATGTTTAAGCTAAAAAAACGATTTTATCTTCCGCATTATTGATCGTGTGTAGGTTTTACGGGTTAAAATCTGTATGTTGTATCACTTGAAATGACGCTTACAGTCCCTTTAAGTAACATTCATTTACAAAGGAAATGAGTTTTTGCCACAAAATCAGATTTTCCTATCGCTATATCTTTTTAATCCAATTGCGGTGACCTTTGATGGTTCAAATTATAAATTCTGTTAGATCAAATAATCTAAGTTTGAAATCTCCGGATGCAGAGATATAGTTTAAGTTTGTTGGAAAACTCAGTTTCTTTAAGTTTTAAATTGAGTTTAAAAAATTGAAACCATTTTTAAACTGTAAAAAGTCTCTAACTTTTTCTTATTTTAAAAGCTGTAATGACGACTGTACAGTAAAAAATGTAGAATGAAGTGCAGCCAATAATTTGCAATTTCTCGATAAGTTAAATTTACATTGACGACTTATCTTATAACAAATATCAAGTTCCAAAATACCTTTTTAACGAATTGATAACATATTAAAAACATGAGTATGTAACTGACAAAATAAATCCTGAATGGTACATGAAAACATGAAACAAATTGTAATTATAATGTATGTATTATGTATATAAAAAATGTGCTAAGTTTTTCATATGTTTATTTAATGTTTAAAATAGAAATGGAGACAGGATGGAAGAGATCCAAATAGACTCTAAAGGAAATGAGTTTTTACCACAAACTCTGATTTTCTAATTCCTATATCTGTGCAACCCAATGGCGTTATCCTTTGATATTTCAAACTATGATTTCTGGCAGATCAAATAAGATAAGCTTGAAATATCAAGGGTTTAGACCATTAGTCTGCAAAGATATTGGATTTAGAAAATTTGAGTTTGTGGCTAAGACTTAATTCCTTTGTATAATTTTTTAAAACAATTGTTCAACTTCCATTATTTTACAGTTATGTTGTTTAATTACTAAATGTCATTTTTCCAGACACAGGGTAACAAAATAAAAATTAACTTTACAACTTTTATAAATTTTGTAAGTATACAATGACAAAAAAGAAAGTTTAGATTTTTAAGACTTTTTTGGCGGCTTTCAAGGGCCTTAGCCTTTCACGCACCTCTGACCCTTTAGTAAAAGTAAATTAAACCTAAAGTCTGACCACGTCAACCTTGTTGCACCGGCTAGTCCTATTGAGTGTCTGCATTATTTACCCAATGTCCGGGCGATACAGTACAAACTGGGACCGGAAAAGTTGACCCGGCTCGGAAATTCAAATGTACTGCGGCTGCCCGTGCTTTGATTAAACTCACATAGACTCAATCCGCTAAGAAAAATTGCATCAATATTCAAGACTGCATCGACTTTGAAGTGTCACAAAGCCTTGACTTTTGATTTTGTATTACCGTCTCACTTAAACTTTCTATGGCTCTAGACATGAACGTTTTAGAACGGAAAACTCTTTTCTTTTAGAAATCGTATTCACGAAGTAATTGGCAAAATTCTCGCCAATTTTTGCGTAAAACCTTGCGACCTCTGGACCACTGTGACCTCACTTACTCATTCTTTTGAGGCCCTAGACATCTACATTTAAAAACTGAGAGGGAGTTGTTTCTACTTTCAATTTACTGAGAGGGACTTGTTTCTACCTTCAGTTTAAATGAGTGATTGGCAAAATACTGCTAGATTTTGCTTGTATATTGTGGCGGACAGAGGTTTGATAATATTTCAATTGTTTTTATTATTTTACTTTAATCTACTCAACATACTGAGAAAGAAAATATTTGAACGAGTTCTCCCCCCCTCAATTTTTTTTTGATTTCCTTCCCCACATTATTCAATATTTATATTGCAGTGCATATTTATCCCTAAAAGGATGTATTTTGAAAAGCATGAATGGCGCCGGAGGCAAATCTTTTAGAAAAATTTGGGTATTGGTTTGGTAGCAATGGCAAACATAAGTCGGGATTGATTATTTGTCAGTCAAGGAAACACTGCGGAAAATGGACCATCAGGAATCAAGTCAAAACATCTAAATTGTTTCTTTGGAATATATTAATATGCAGTCTACATGAGTTATAATCTCAATTTTTAGAAAATACCACCCAGGGGATTTTAATTAAATCCATTTTAAATAAATTGTAGAAATCAAGTGCACTTTCAGGTCTAAACTAGGGTTTGCAGCGAAAAGGAAAAATCGTTACGCGAAAATTTTCGCTTTAATCTTTTTCGCGAAAAAATTAGGAATTAAAAAAATGCAAAATTTTTGCTGGAATTCATCAAAAAAGACAAAATATGTTAAATGGTATTGATAAAAACCTAACATAAAATAATAATTCAAAAAGAACTCCCCCTTTCCTCGGTACCTCGCTACAACAAGAAATTTAATTTATCACCTCAAAAACACATAATCCCTCTTGTCTTAAAAATGTGCCGCTAGGGGCCAGACCCGTCAGCCAATTAGAGACCGGGGGGATTTTCAACAAATGCGGGAAAAGTTGTTGACCAATGAGGAACGAGGAGCGGCTGGTTGGTGGTTTAAACACTGTGCACAGAGTAACCAGTTGATCTCAGACAATACAACCATGATGTTTAGATCATACGCACACGAGGCAATTCAAGCAAAGAATAAAAAATAAAGAAAATAGTTGAAAGATTGTTGTCTTTATTTTTTTTTTAAAACTAGATTTGTAAAATGATCCCTTAACCACATTTTTTAAAAATCTCCTCTGCTCAAAATGCCCTAGGCCCCGAAACCAATATTTTTTGTTGTTGCAAAACTCATTTTTTTTTAAAGAAAAACGGCAAAACCCAAAATTCTGCGAATACGACAGATGATACAAATGTAAAATGATTTTAAATATTTTTTTCTCTTAATTTGATTTAATAAACAATGCTTTTTTGTGATTTAGAGTGAACTTCATTCTTCGTTAAATTTAAGATCCCAGTACACAAGAACTCAGAGTTACCAGGTAAACATAAATACATGCAGGCTTAAAGAGATTGTCCGTAAATTTTGAATGAATCTTTAAAATTCTATCCTGTATCCATTATTATTAAGGCATCATTCAGGAAAATATGTTCATTCGTGAAGTTTGCATACTTACTATCGCGACCAGTCATAAAGACAATCAAGAATTTTTCAATCAAAAATTAGCACTAAAATGACTGGAACTATTCCAATCCCAATTGGAAAAAAGTCTCAAAGAACCTTTCTAAATATGAAGATATAAAAGTGTGTAGTTTTAAATCGGACTAATTTATAAAATGGCGACCAAAAGAATTATTTTTACATTACGAATTAAAGCCAGTTTAAAAAGGAGTTATGTTGAATTAACGCCAAAATTGATTTTATTTTTAAAGGGCGGGGGTTTGTGGCCTTTGATATATAAAAGTGAAAAATGTGACATTTGACTCTTTAAAAATTCCACAAAAAAGTTTTCCAAATGTTTAATCCTTGAATTATTTGCAGGAGTTCCTTGACAGTTCTAATGACGAGGGATCTGAGAGTGGTGAAAACAGTGTAGATCTTGGTTCTGATCTTGCTCTTGATCAAACACATCGTCATGATCATGATCCACAGCTTCGTCTTGATCCAACACATCATCTTGATCATGATGTTAATAGTCCAGACTGTCTTCAAGATCATTTGGCAAGGTTGGTTTTTAGCTTTTATCCTAGTGATCTAGAGATTTTGCATAAATTTAATCCTAGTGATCTAGAGATTTTGCATAAATTTAATCCTAGTGATCTAGAGATTTTG